TGTAGCATGTCTGATACAACTGCATATATTTATATATCGGGGATGTAGCATGTCTGATACAACTGCATATATTTATATATCGGGGATGTAGCATGTCTGATATAACTGCATATATTTATATATCGGGGATGTAACATGGCTGATACAACTGCATTTTTTTATATATAGGGGATGTAGCATGGCTGATACAACTGCAAATATTTATATATAGGGGATGTAGCATGGCTGATACAACTGCAAATATTTATATATATAGGGGATGTAGCATGGCTGGTACAACCGCAAATATTTATATATCGGGGATGTAGCACGGCTGATACAACTGCATTTTTTTATATATCGGGGATGTAGCATGGCTGATACAACTGCCTTCAGATTACTTTTTTAACTCTAAGCTTTTGCGTAAACTTAAGTAATTTATTATTAAATAGGATATGGAGACATTTGAATCATCTACATTCTGTTTTGCTTTAGTTCTGTGACCTTTTAGACGCAAACCCTCCGTATCATACAAGGTTTTCAATATTTATGATTTAACTTGTTTAACTTTTGTTGATGTCTAACAGTCACAAGATATACATACGAAACTATACAAAATTAAATTGTTGACGTGTTGTCACAGCTTTCCGAAGTAAAATAAAGCGCTCCCTTATTAATATGTAAAACGTATTCTGTAAAAAAGAAAATGAAATGAGATAAAACATTCTTCTATTAATATATGTAAAACTGATTCCGTTGAAAGAAAATAGAAATATACCTTAGGTTTCCAGAAATTCTTGTAATCTGGAATTTAGAGAGATCTATAAGAGTTGAACATGCTTAATGTGTGTGTGTGTGCAATCCAATTTCTTATTTTAAATTTTGAAGTTTCACAGTAAATAAAAGTTTTGTAAAGTGTTTCGTGAAATGGTGCCGTCTTGCATTCCACTTCATCCAGTTTCATTAAATTCAGGCGCGAATTTTACGGGTCGAAAATGGTAATTTCTAGAATAATTGATCATCCTTGTCACCAGCCTTAATGGTAACTTTGTTGCTTTGCCGAGTGTACTGTCGTTGGGGGAAATAGTTGAAAGCAAGACATCTGCATGTTTAAGTTTGGCATATTATTCTGACGTAAGCATCAAGCTTAATATGATTTCACAAAAAAATTATGGCACTTTTTTTTTTTTCAGTTGTGAGAAAACTTTCAAGATCATTTAATTTACCAAAAGCTTAAAATAAATACGAAAACATTCACGATAGACACACATCCTTCTTAAATAGTTAATTAATTCATGCACAAAACACTCACCAGTTGTAGTGAGTTTAGATATCTAGGAAAATGCTTTAACATAAGACCTCTATATTTAATATATATATATATATATACATCTATTTACATAGGTTACAATTAACAAAAAAAACCAAAAACCCTGGTGTCATAATACTTCCGATTAATGTCGTGACGGATGTAAAGAAGCAGGATAATCTACTAAGATAAATTAAAAAGTTTTTTCAATCCCGTTTCTCTATTTTTCTGAGCGTTTTACGAGGGACGGAGAAATGTTAATGTTTAAGAACTGGGAAGTAGACTTATCAAAACACTTCAATAACAACATAGTTACTACAAACACACATTGAGGGTACCTGGGATCTGAATAAGCACGTGATTTCTTCTTCTTCTTAATATTACTTGTGATTTAATGTATACTTCAATTGTCCGTACATTGAAATCGCTTTATTTTGAGGTATACACCTTATCCATTCCCGTACATGATTTAAGCCTGCTCTTATCATCTGCCTGATTGATAAAAGTGAAGTTTAAGCGTGTTTTTCACGAGTATTAAAATCACAAGAAACTAGTTTTTCTTCATTCTTGACACCATCCCCCAACTTTAAATCCCTACAGCCAGGTTCGAACTTCTCGATTTTAACTTACCCAAGCGTATCTTGTCAAACCATGCATTTTCCAGAACTTACACTGAGTGGCATGGTAGCTGTCGATGACAGAAACATTTTCAGCTAGTAACGCAAGGGCCTTAGGAAACTTCAGCCAATCAGGATGTTCAGTTGTTGGTTCACCTGATTTAACAAATGCCATTACAATGTCATGCAAAAGACTGCCAAAAGCATAGTCCTCTTCGCTAGGGTTGTCAAAGTAAATGTCAAGCTGATGGAAAAACGCAATAAGATCCCATAGGTGAAAGCTGTAGAGAGCTTTATAATCATAAGCTTTAACCTACAAATAATAAGAAAAAAAAAAATGATGAGTAATTTAACCTTAACCTGAACAAATTCTATAAAACAATAATTAGCACTTACATCCTACCTTTCAAAAAGATTTGTTTGTTTTTCTGATATCACCGTAAAGCTACATTAGGGATATATGCGATAACAGTCCTTAATTTTGAACTGAAAAACTAGAGTAGAGGGAAGGTAACTAACCAACAGCATCCACCACTACATTTTAGGCTATTCTAATCAAATAGTGAGATTTAGATATCACTCTTATAACGCAATCACGGCCCGAAAGTACAAAGTGTAATTTTGCAGCAACGGGGCACAAACCGTGGACCCTTAAATTCATGGTCCATCTGAAAAGGCAAGTTATATTTTCCAAAAGTTATATTTTATAAAAGCTTGGATTCTTAATTGTTATTTGAAATAATGTTAGATATTTAAAATATTATATTTTCTTTGTTTCCTTAACGCATAGAAATTATGGAAAGAGTGAAATTAAAGGTTAAACAGATTTTTATACAATTTTGAAAACAAATCAAATTATATAAGAAAGTACTTTAACTTTAAGTCTTAATTTTGTCCTGGTGAAGTTATTTTGTACTATGTTACGATAGCTTAGAACTGAGTTCATGCATATTTTCCAAGTGATGTGGATTTGTGGTTTGATTATTTGGCTGCAGATTGGAATGTCTAGGTTTCGTGACGCGATATAGTGCTGAAATATTTCGAAATTTGAGCTGTGGGGGCGTTATAACTATGGCAATCAATCCACTTACTGTGAAAAGTAGCCATACATTCGGCAGCGGCTGCTGCTGGCTTATTGCTATTATTTTGATTAGCAGTTTCTAAATGTGGATTATAATTGAAACTTGTGGTCTCCGACCTGGCCATTCAACTCATGTGTCACATAAAGTGGCGATCAAGTTCAAAATATAAAATACCGTGCTCTATATTAGTCCTTTATTGGCTACAGCTTGACTGATGCAAGATATACCTATTATTACAAGTAAACATGTTTTAATTAAGTATAATATAACGTGTCCAAACATGACGAAGTTTTGCTTATACAATAGTTTTCTACTCAAATAATAGGGAAAATAACAACATTTCTTAAGCAATTGTAAAAAAAAGTTAGAATTAAACGAGAAAATAAAAAAATCCGAAAACAAAAACTGTATGTTTAACCGTTTTCATAACATACATTCCTTTCCTCTTTTGTGGTATGAGAAAAGTGGTACTAGCTCCAGGAAAAATGGCATGGTGAGGAAAAGCGAAAACAAACTCTGACTTTAAATTTAACTTGTGATGGTCAATGCAATCACATGCAATGCAACTTAATTGTATAGGAAAACAAAACAAAAGGACTTCGTTCACAATATCAGAAAACTTTAACAAATGTATAAATTTGATCATTTTCTGCGTAATTTTGCAAAAAATCAGATATTTCCCGATGAAGTACACGAAAAACACATACAAAAAATTAAGGACCTTCTACTTCACACGTAAAAAACACATATTCTATTATATATATATATTCCCTATTACTTTCTGATTTTGATCGCATCTCAAAACGACCCGGAAAAGGTACTATACAACATTAAATTATACAAGTAATAATTTATATAATTTTATACATCTCTTTGTATAAGCTACAGCTATCTCTGCAAAGTGTGTATTTTGTATTCGGGTTATAATGAAAGGTCATACGTACTTTTCTATAACGAATTCATTTTCCAGTGATTTTTTTAAACTTGTGTATAATATTCATCGATCATTCAACATGTTACAAATAAAAGCATTCAAAAGATCATATATATAATAATATATGCTGAATAATATATCGTGTTTGCTTTTAATAAATTTTAACTAAACTATGAATTTATTACGGTCATCAATTCTAATTTTACATGCAACATGAAATCCATAATGGAAGACATATGAATAAATGTGTGTACTTACAGATACCGAAGGCTGTGTTGTAACGATGTAACGGTATACAGGTGATTTCATATTATCACTGTAAGCAGAAGCCAGTTCGTTCACAGGGCAGGTCTGCCTCAGGTCAGAAACCATTGTCGTGTAGAGTTCTTCGATTGTTCCAGAAGCTAGCCGAAAAAAATAACAAATAAGAAAATTGTCTTCCCTAAGGAGCTCATTTAGGTTTAAAAGGTGATGGAATATCACAATAAAAATGTTATGTCTTATCTAGATACCGGCATTAGATCAGTAAAGAGAGAGTTGTACAACAATGATTACCGTGATATTTCCTTACAATAAAGTTAAACTATTGCATACTACAATATTTACATTGTTATAACACATAAATATAGATATGTTTTCTTTAGTTTGATAAAAAAATATTTACTGTTTTTATTTTACCACATATTCTAACAGTGCGATTTGAATGCTTTTATTCTTAATTTTCAAGAGCATGCACTGATTCTTTAGTTTTTTTCAGTGGTAGTAAATAGTGCTGTTTGTTTGTTTTGTTATTAAGCTACCCAATGGGCTATCTGTGCTCTGCCCACCACGGGTATCGAAACCCAAATTCTAGTGTTGTAAGTCCGCAGACATACCGCTGTGCCACTGGAGGGCAGTAAATAGTACTAAGATGACCTCAAGTAGCCTATTAAAATTATTGTATATTGTTATAAAAACTGGTGTTTCGTATTGTTTTTCATTAATATAATGCATCAACACCTCGACACCTCCATCTGTAGTTAGTGTTACGTAATTGTGATTGAATTTTCCAGCTCTGACTAAGCAAGCTGTAATCGATAAAACATTTAGATAAGAAGAATTGTTCAACCCAAGCACTGGAGAGAAGAAACCTTCAATTACTTAAAATTCTTGTCGAGTTTCTATGGTGAGTCATCTGATTGTTCCAATGACATAAGGTTATTTTTCACGGACAACAAACGCATCCACTGTAATATCTGAAAACCTAAGGAAATGGCTAAATTGCTGTAATGGAATATGAATTATGCGGTTAATAATAATCTTAATCATGTGACCGACTATGCGGTCAATAATGATCTTCATCATGTGACCGAAACACTGGTCAGATAGTTGTTTTATCCTTAGAGCCATTTTAAACATCTTGTATTTCCAAGTTAAGTTTTTTACCATTTAATTGCTAACTAATCAAAAGTTTCGGAGGCTTGTCTTAGAACATGAATGTTTGTTTTTTTAAATTAGTTTAGAAACTTCAAGCAATAGACAGGAAATTAATTTGAAATCATCTATTCAAAATTAAAAACATATAACTATTATTTCAGACATTAATTAAATTAGAAATAAAAATCGCTGACGTCTTTACTGAAGCTCAGCTCTTAGTACTAGTTTTCCACGCAAGTGAAAATTGAAATCAAATTAAAAGGGAGTGAAATGTAACGTCTTTCTTTCCACTGATTGTTTTCGGATATTAAGATTTTTGCGTGAGAAAGGAAAGTGAGTATAGCACTATACGTCTCACAAAGACACGAGTTCTTCCTCAGAAAGTGGCAGAATTCTTCTGAAGCAACATTCCCACGTGCACTTATAACTCTAAGAGCTCACTGATCACCACATTAATCATGGTATGTTTTCGACGCTCTGATGGTATGTATAAAAATAAAGATCATACAAGAAATTTAAGGAGTGTAACCAATGACCAGTTACTAGGATTACAGCTCACCTTCAGCGTTTAATGTGTATATTTTTATGTTTGGTTGATAAGAATTCTTTCGAAGAATATTATTCTAAACATTATATTTAGTTACAAAACAATGTCTTCTCCCTTTAGATCGTTGTTACATTAGAATCATTGTAGTGACACATGAGTGTGCAGTAGTTATGAATATTGTATAATAAAGTAATGGTCACATTCAACCCTTACAGCTTCAGTAATAGTGTCTGCCAAGAAAGATGATGATGTTCATCATAAAAGTTTGAAAAGAATCTGTTAAAACACTAGATGCATATTTTAAATAACTATTGAAAAAGACCAAGTAGTGGGATTCGTGGTTAAAAATAACGCGAAGCAGGACACAGAAAAACGACCGTTTTTGTATGAGTAAAAACAATACATACACAAACGAAAAAAAAAGTACCAGAGCAGCCACGAGGTATTACTCCCTAAATCTCCTTAGTCAGTGGAATCAAAGGAGAGAAGGAGATTTATGTGCCCGAGAAGAAGATAATAAAAGAAACCTTGCACAATCTGTAATGATAAGAGTTTGGAACAATGGTACAAATACGTCTTTTTTATCAAGAGCTATCGATATTTTGATGTGCTTAAATGGAAGTGTTTTTCCAAACGCTTCAGAAGATGAACAATGAAATAACATCTGCATCTAAAAAGATTAGGATCGTGTTTCTTACTTGTCTCTGAACTATTGTAAAGCTGGAGTGCCATACGAGCAATACCAGGCCCAAAACTATCCAGGCTTGTAGTTACATACTTCTTGTACCTTCTCCACGACCAATGACGTAAGTCGTCCGGCCCTGGCCAAAATTCTACTGCTTGAGTGGAGGTTCCTGCCAGAAAATTCTCATATTAGTGTTTCTACTCATTTGGTGTCTGTCTGAATAACATATATTAACAGCAGAAACCAAAAATATAATATGCTTTGGTTTAAAAAATACAGATATGAAGGGGGCCCAAGAATAATAGAAACAGATGTTGTCAGAAATGTTGTTTCTCATTTGAACTGTAAAAAACACTGATAGAAGGACTTGCAGATAAACAAATAACTTGTAACTTCACAATGTGTACAAGTATTTCGAGCAAAGCTGGTTTGGGGCTCAGTACGTATGCATCATATATTTCATGCTATACCGATTGAACGTACTTAAAAATTTCAATTTTCTAAATATTATTTAGTCTTGACACGAAGCAGTAAACCAGCCCTTTAGACCATGTTCTAGAAATCATGAACTTTAATTAAAAACGAGTAACATAAGTTACTAACAAAATTTCAAGTTTTTTCATTTTATCTTCTCATGCTTGCTATTTCAACAAAGTAAATACTCATTACACTTCTTCAAAGTTTGTATCGAGTTCGCTGTAACAAAGACAAATTTGTTTGTGTTTTAATTTACCAGAAAACACCGACAAACTAAGTATCTTTGGAAACAAGTTGAAAAAAAACAACAATGTCTAATATTTTTAAACTCTTGTTTTTTTTCACCTCTAAAGCCTTCAGGTTCAACAAGTTTCACTCAAACTAGTGGATATGTTCTTTATTACCTTATAATAAAGGTACTCTGAAGCCCTTTCACAGTCGCAGTACAGACATTTTAATCAAGTGATTCTAAAATCTATTATAATCAAAAAATAAGTTCATCGTACGTGTCTTCCTAGATGCTGGTAGAACAAAAACTTTATATATTTTAAAAGCATACAGGATTACCGGAAAACAACATTTAACCCGTGCGCTTTTCGTAGTATTTGAAAGTAACAATCCTCTTAAAAAGCAAGGACAGTAAAGAAAGTAAACAATTCCCACGTGTGAATGGATAACAAGCTAGCACTGAGAACTAAACCGTACATATCACATTCTGGTATATCAGCAGCATAGTCTAACGTATACAAGCAAATATAGATTATTCTATTAAAATGGCAGAAAGAAAGACATGTAGGTAGGTCAAGAATCGTGTTTTTTGTTACATAAATTTCAAGCATGTACATTACGTGCTCTGGTGTTATCTTTGATAAAACTGTCTTCGTAAACGTTATCGCTTCTATAGTGATGCTTATGTGATATTCCTGTGTAAAGTGACTATGGACTGTCTCATGTGTTCTTTATTGTTGTTTTTATGCTTTGATTTAGAACACAGTCTTTAATATGAACCTTCATACATGGAACTTTCCCATCTAAGTCGCGCACTATTGTTTTAATAAGGTCTGCTGTCTTCAGCAGTTTTTAAAGTATTGTGTACTTTTAAATGTTGTTCAAACTGAGTTTTTTTAATAAGAATATACAGTAAATAGCACCCAGTTGGAGACTTAATATGAGATGTTACCAACATCAAATTACTGGATTTGTTTTCGCATGCGGAGTTTGGTTCACTGCTGCTGACACAACGCATATAGGCCACTGTATAGCCTTGCGAAAAATCAAAATGAAAAAAACATATGTTCACCATATTGATGTTCTCTAATGGTGAAAACTTTAGCCGTAGGCACGTATGTCATCATCTACAGTAAACAAGTCAAGTTAGTAACATTTTCAACAGTTACGCGTTTGTCTCAACAAACTCAGTATAATAACCCTACAAGTATAATATCATAATTCTTATATTTTGATAATCTATTGTTAATAGGACCTCCAGTCAGAGACATAAAAATTGATTTAAAAAAAAAACTATCTTAATTAAGCTTGTTAGACCTGGTTCATGTCGTTATTTTATTTTGGGGGGGCGTGATAAATTTATTAGTCTCAGTGTTGATATTATGGATACTGGAAATAGTCACCTTCTACGTACTCATGAGGCGTTTCGCGTTGAACTTTTACAACTTAAAGTATCTTTCCAAATCAAAAGTAGATTGGATTCCTACTACCACACCAATTCGTTTCGACAGCCAAAACAAGTAAGTATTGGTCTCAGAACTTAACTGATGTCTTCTGTTTTGTTCTTGTTTTTTAACTACCGTATCGTTAGAAGACGTTATCAAATGGAATTCCCTATCATGTATGTGCCCCACCATTTCGAAAAGGTTCTATATCGATGGAGTAGGAGGAAAGCTTTTTTAACATTTCAAAAAAAGTAAAGTACAAGCTTTATATGTTAATATGAATTAAGAAAGCATTATACATACAGAGGTGAGGGCCTTAATATACAAAATGTACGTGTATTTGTAAATTGAAAACTTGCGTGCGTTATTAAAGATAGACTATTGTCGATCGAATCTCGCTTCGTTATGTCAGTACTTCACTAAATAAGAATAATAATTACGTTCTGAGTAATTACTTGTGCATGGTTGTATTTGTACTGGGCTGGTTGACACAGCATTAAACTATGTTAAAGTGTCTTTCATTTAGATTTATAATCCTGCACTGAATAGTAATAAGTGAGCAATGCTAGGTAGTAACAAAAAACATATGTAAATTAATAAAGTCTGTGTATTTTAGAGTTAGGGTGATTAATTCGAGATCACTGAGACCACAAAGCTATCTAATGTTGTTCTATAAGTTCCACGATCATATCAGCATTGTAATGGATCGTGGTTTTAAAATTTAAGCTTATGAATTGAGTTCATTAGCACACTTTTTAATTTAAACAATATATACTATTCAATACTAATAGGCAGTATATATATGTTTGTGTTATTATTTATGAGTTTTACTAATAATAAAGATATTTAATAATAATATTATATATATATATGTAACATATGTAAATTAGTATTTTTCTGGTTTTTTTTTTTTGTAATAAATTCTCGAGATTCAGATGTTGCGCTATCAATCTTATTTTTCACTTGCCGTTTCTATCAAACAGAGTGAAAGGTTTTTTACCAGCCTGGCTATACACCACCTGATTAAAGCTCAGGAAATCCTTCGGAAGCTTTCCACGCAACTAGCTTATTATATTATAGATCTCTGCCTTCAAACTGATTGATTTCTATGACACTTGAATATCAAGTCTCTGGCAATTTATATGTGGATACGTGTACGTCATTGACAAGTTAATACAAAGGATGTTGGGTCTGTTTATTATTACGAATGGGGCGCAGAGAATTATCGGACTAAGTGTGTTGTCTTACAAGTATCTGGAAGACAAGAAACTTCAAATAAGTCGCACGTTTGCTGGCAATGTGGCTTTAGTTTCATCTTTGGTACAACAGTGCCCACTAGTGTTATAGAACATTAGCAAATACCATGTTAAAATATTAACACAGGTGCTCCAAAAATACATTACCTATGATGTTAAAATATTAACACTGGTGCTCCAAAAATACATTACCACTCTTGGCAAAGAAAATCAAAATCTTGATCCATAAAACTGGTTATGGGATTTAGCAACAAAATTGTTGGAGCTTTTCTGATAACAAAAAACTGGAATCAGCGTACAGATTGTAAGCGTATAATTTTTATGACAAACAGGTTAACAATACGCATAATTCTTAAAGTCTGGTTAACAAATAGCACTAGATCATAAAAATGTTATAGGTCTCTAAAGATTTTACATGTTCAATCTTCATACCACATAATAAATGTAGACATTTCAGGGATGTTACGAATAGGATAGTAAAACATAGTTTACAAAATTACTCTGAGCATCACATGGGAGACAAAGCGTGTGGATAAAGAGGAAGATGCCATTCACGCAAGGAATATAAACATAAAAATGGTGACGTTATTCATGCAAGAGAAGCGAGCAAAATGTGAATATATGACTGCCGAACGAAACGCTCTTTAAAACACGAGAGCAGCTGATACAAAAACTACACGAATGTGTTTTGGAAGTTCGGAAGAAAAAATATTTTTGATTATACGAGATCAATATTAAAGAAAAATAAAATTAGGCTTATTTTTGGAGGATATTAGTTATAAAATTAATTTAAATTAACTCTAGAATGTTCTACGGAAAATAATAAAATTAATTTTAACGTTGTTTTTTTTTTCAGAAAATTTTCAGAACTTAGTTTTTCGCATTATATTCAGGTTATACTTAGCAAAAACTAGAAATTTTTCAAATCATTCATTTTGACAAAACTTAAAGTTCCGCATAACAATCACAGCGTGGTCTGAAATCAACTTAAAGAAGTCGACTTATTCTGATTTACTAACTCATGTTTCGCCAGAATAAAAAAAACACACACACAGTCATTAAAGCTGTGTTGTTAGTAGAGCAATAAAAATAGTTTTATAAAACCTGATAATATGTACCGTATTAGGACATTTCATCAATGATCATTTTTTACACGAGTGTTTATGAATAACTTACCAATAAGAAGGGGTATATCTGCGATCTCTTCGGATTCTATTGCTTCTATTGGCGGTTTTGGCACTTCGTCATCTGTTAAGCAAACGGAATTAAATAGGTACCATGGAAGGCAAAACAAGGGTATAACTTTAAATGGGCAAATTTTTTAAAAAGTCGTATTACACGTGAATGAAACTTTCGAAATAACATAAGCCCAGTGTAAGCAAAAATATTTCGGCTGTGCTGCTCATGTTACAATGTTAGGATAAAATTGTACCAAAATGAGCCATAGCATAACACACTTCCATACTTTTGTTCGTTACTCTTTAAGGCTGTCGACCTCAATTAACGTTTATTTAATTATTTATTTTTCGATGACGAAATATGAGCTTATGAATTACACATCTATCTAAACAAGTCTATGAAAAGTGTCGATTATATTTTTGTTAGTTAGAAAATAAGATTTAAAATTACCAACTCAAAAATAGAATAATAAGGCAACTTTTTCAAAAAACATACAGAAATTATCGACATCAAAATAAAAAATACTTTTTGATATACCATTTAATGCCTTGGAATGTGCAAAAATCACCTTAATTATTATACAGGAACGACGAAAAACAAACAAATTCCACTAAGTATCTTATTAAAGCTAGAGAATACTTAAATAAGTGCGAGAAATCTCCAGGTGTTCGTAAGTTAGATATCAGACTACTTTGGATGATGCTAACGTAAGTTAGATATCAGACAACTTTGGATGATGCTAACTTAAGTTAGATATCAGACTACTTTGGATGATGCTAACGTAAGTTAGATATCAGACTACTTTGGATGATGCTAACTTAAGTTAGATATCAGACTACTTTGGATGATGCTAACGTAAGTTAGATATCAGACTACTTTGGATGATGCTAACTTAAGTTAGATATCAGACTACATTGGATGATGCTAATTATTTAATGCACATAAAAAAAATGTGACGATTATTTGGTTTATCCCAACATACGAAACCTTGAACAAAATTAAATTACCAAAAGTACGGACTGCGGAAGTGTTTAACCTCCGTTGTGTTACAGTATCGTATCACCTTGTTGCAAAGAGAAACTAATTTTTCTGGTTTATTTAAAAATAACAAAACTCCGAAGCTTAAAAGAAAACGTGTAAAGAATTTTCAGTTGCAATAATTGTTATAATTTCATCCCAGTGTTACACATATTTTCAAAAGTCAAAACCCTTTCAATTATTGTGGCTTTTTTTATTTTGTTCGTTGTAACATAGAAGATATGATAATCAGCAACGTTTACGATCTAATAAATCACCTTGGTACAGTTTATAGTTAAGTATGTTAATATGATAATCAGCAACGTTTACGATCTAATAAATCACCATGGTACAGTTTATAGTTAAGTATGTTAATATGATAATCAACAACGTTTACGCACTAATAAATCACCTTGGTACAATTTATAGTTAAGTATGTTGATATGATAATCAGGAACGTTTACGATCTAATAAATCACCTTGGTACAGTTTATAGTTAAGTATGTTAATATGATAATCAGCAACGTTTACGATCTAATAAATCACCTTGGTACAGTTTATAGTTAAGTATGTTAATATGATCATTTACCATTAGTTGATAAAACAAAATTAAATCCCTTAGAAATGGTAATATAAAAATAAATTTGTCAACTAAATAACTATTGTGTATAAAGCACTCTTAAATATATTGAGTAAACGTTATCTTAAACTCAAAAATATCATTACGTAAATATATTTGATACTGGTTAATAGGTTTAGCTTTTGAAATTATCTTAGGTATTGAGTACAAATAAATAGGTGTATATAGTGCTTTTACGTTACTTTACCTTCATACTTTAACCCAAATAGAAAAACTTTCATTTTTTGCCCCTTACCTTTCACTAATTCACAAATAGAACATCCATCTCTGTATTATAAGATACGCGTGTATTCGTATATTTCACTGTACTTCACCGTGAACTTGGCTAAATCGGGTCACATGTCTTGTCATATGTACTTCTAAATTATATTGCTAAGATAAAGAGAACTCACGGTGAAGTCCATAGCAAATTCTTGTGCTTACGTATTGTACACTTTGATGGGGTTCTTTCTGTCTTTCAGTTAGCCATACTTGATGGATTGTAGATGCACTCACTGGTGTTTGAAAATTGGTGTTTAGAGGTCTTATTTACACATTGCGCCCTGCTGAGTAATCAATAAGAGTATTTCAGTGTGATGACTAAGTGCGAATGTTGTTATACAACACACAACAGCCAGTTTACTTCGGTTGGGGTAGGTGATGACGCCCCATAGACAGCGGAGAAAATTATCACGCGTTTTAAAGGTTAATTAATTACATTTTGCCCCTCACCAGCTTGTTTTCCTGAGGCTAATTACATCTTGCCCCTCATCAGCTTGTTTTCTTGAGGCTAGACTGGTTCCGAAAGCAGGAGGTTTAGTGTTTTTTTTCACGAAATATCAAACACCTCTTTCCTGTAGTACGTAAGAAAACGTGTTTCATTTCTTATCAGAATATGATTAATGTGGAAAGATTTTGATTACTTTATATCTATACAGAGGTTGAGTAGTCGTATTAAAACGATTTTGGAGCCTCACAACGTTGTTACACCCCATGTCGCCACTTTCGGTCACGCTCTGTATGGCGAACGTACTTCTGCGGTGTAGTTTACATTACAAAAGGCTCCGCGGTAAAACTGTCATGTCCAACTCACACCACTCTTCCTTACATTTTCAAAGAAGTTAGCATGGTTCCTGACTATACTAAACAAAAGGTTCCCAACCTTTATTCAGATTGATTCTCAGTACTTATCTATATTGTCTATCCAAGACCCGTATAATAAACTCAGTAGAGACTGACAAAAAAAAAAAACAATTGAAGAAAATAAATATAAAAATAACATGTAGGACATAACTAACAGGAGAAAGATGATATGTACACTAAAGGTTAAAATAAAATATAAGTATTTAATTCGAGGAAGTTACAAACTTGTTTATGACCAACTTTACAAAATTTATCCTAACACGGAATGATGCTCTACAACTGTTGACAGTGGAACTCATTGTACAACCATACACTAACCACATGCACACTACCTAATCAAAGAAATCAGATCGTTCTATTGCTTATAACTACGCTTTTCTGTTAATCGTTTCCCCATATACCTCAGATTATCGCTATTTTGTATTTGCTAAAATGAAATAGGCAGGCCTACATATAAACTACACTCTTATATTGAAAGCCATAAATCAGTCTGTTGATTATCCGCTAAAGTCAACTAGAATAAACATTAATTTCTCAAAGACATATATGAAAAGATGAACACAATTTTCGCCTTGTTGTGTGTTGAAGAATTTAAGTGTACACCCTAAGCTGGATTCGTGTGTTATCATAAAGATGATTAGTCCCCATTTACAGCTCTAAACTCTCTCTGATGATAAGTTCTACATAACACCGTAAAGACAGACTGATAATTAGCCTCACGTACATTTCTAAACGCTCGCTGACAATTAGCTCAACGTGTCATCTTAAAAACACACTAATGATTTGTTCTAGATGCCATTCTGAATACTCGCTAACGATCAGTCCCACACATTAAGCCTTAGAACTCACTGATAATTTATCTGGCAGGTTAGATTGATAATTCGAGAAGGAATTACTGATGACGAGATTTTTTTATCCATGTTATTAGTTACGAAAGTATTCTGATAAACTAAAAGTAGGTTCAAAAGTATTATTTTCTATTACTGTTGTTTTAAGATTTCCAAACATCTTAATAGCTTTGTAGCTAACATGTTGCAGAGGGAGTCGTTATATACGGCATCTGTGTTTTTAACGACTCGAATTTTATTACTGATCCCTTGAAAACTTTTGGATTAAGCGTTTGATAGAATTACACGATCCTAAATCTCCTACTTACAATTATTGATTTTGTTCTCCAGCGAGTACTTTCCCACGTTTCCTTGAGATGGCTTTATTATCACTTTCAGTTCAATAAACACTGGAGACTGTCCTTTCTGCTCACTTCATGGACATAATTATTATTATTCTTTCCATATAAAATATCGTCAAATGATGTTTGATCAAATGTTAAAATTCGACAAAAACAGGTAAACATAAAGTATCCAATTTGTTGTACGGAAGTATTGACATTTATTAGTTATACGTACCTCCTACAACCACAAGTTGTTCAGGATAGATTCCTTGGATCGGTAGATCATTTTGATCTCGAATACGAAATGATGGATCGTCTTTTCCCAGGTAATAATTGATAACTTTTCTGTCCGAAAGTTTACGCAAACAGTTTTGGTCGGTACAATTTGACCTCCTCAGAAAAAAAGCTTCATTGTGTCTGTTAGCTTCAGCAAAAGTTCTTCTGAAAATTAATGCTGGTCCTGTGAGCCAAGCCTTTTGGAAAAGTTTTTTGGAAACAGGAGAAGTCATCATTGCAAGAATAGAGGCTCCCCCTGCATCTCCCCCAAACACTGTTATCTAAAACGACAGGAATGACATAGATGTATTAATAGTGTAAAAGAAAAATCCGTATGTTCTCCGAATTAACTTGTTGATTTTACATTAATATGCATTAGAATATATATAATTAAATCGTTTAGATGAAGAGTTATTCTTGAAACAGATGAGGAAATCAACAAATGGAACATTTACCTTGTTAGGATCTCCTCCGAAATTTTTGATGTTTTTATGAACCCATTTCAGAGCAGTTATTTGATCTGATAAACCAAAATTTCCACCAGTATTGCTGTTACTCGAATTGTTATCGGTGAAAATATCGAGAGCAAGGTATCCCATAGCAAATATACGATAGTTGAAACTAACAAGTACTACGTTCAACTTCTGGGCTAGTTTTCCAGATGGACTAAGACCTGGTTGATGACCACTTCCGAACTGTAAGAAGCCTCCATGGATCCAGACCATCACGTCTAAGTGTGCCTGGGAATATAAGTAATGCATATTAAGTCCATTTGAGTCTGTAAAGAAGATAATTAGGCTTCATGCCTTTATCTACATATAACTAAAATTGATAAATATGACGTCTACAAGAACCTGAAAGGGCAGTTAATTAACAATGTATTTGGATATTACTGTGAAGAGGTTTAACAATACATCCAGATGCTCCTGTGAAAAGATGTTCTTTTTAACAATAACTCCAAATATTTATGTAAAAAGTGTTGACAATACACCCAGATGTTCCTTTGAAAGGTTGTTCTTTATTAACAATAACTCCAAATATATATGTAAAAAATGCTGACAATACATCCAGATGTTCCTGTGAAAGGTTGTTATTTATTAACAATAACTCCAAATATTTATGTAAAAAATGCTGACAATACATCCAGATGTTCCTGTGAAAGGTTGTTATTTATTAACAATAACTCCAAATATATATGTAAAAAATGCTGACAATACATCCAGATGTTCCTGTGAAAGGGTTTAGCAAATACGGCGATCAAAGGTCCAAATAATTAAAACATATCAGACATATCTAGAAAACATTTAATATACAATATGTACAGATGATCATCAACCACTTCCTCCTGATATGATTACGACAACAATTAATGAATATCCCTCCAGATAGGAGATAATTAATGACTATCTCGTTCAGATATGTTAGTGAAGATAATTAAGATAGAGTATTCACTATCTTTTAATGGTTATGCCAGGGTTAGTAACTTAACTTATGATAAATATAATAAGTTAATTTATGATAGATAAATGTGAGAAATTAACAAGTTAATTTATAATATATAAATGTGAGAAAGTGATAAGTTAATTTATGATAAAAATTTGTTGAAACCCGGATTCTAGCGTTGTAAGTCCGCAGATATGCCGCTGTGCCACTGGGGGGCTTTTATGAACGAAGAGTCGATCACAGGCCTTAGGGATTCTTTTTTCATTTTTAAAACTTTTATAAATTAAGATAAGCAGCTCGGAATATATTCTTCAAATTAATTTTGTTAAATTATTTTAGTTATGTTATTTATTTATAAATCCTGACGTCTCGGACATTATTATTATTATTGTTTTAATAATTTTTGATAAAATTTTCAGACATTGCAAATAATCACATCTGTCGCGCTGAATATAAATCGTCAATAACAAAAAAACAAAACAAAACATAAATGGATTGGTTATCACTTAGAACACAAAAGAACAGGAAGACATCTTGAAATATTTATATTAAGATAAATAATTTAAAGAATAAAACATTTTGAAAAGTTTTCTCTAATTATTTTAATTAAATTTTTAATGAACTTCAGAAGTGATTAAACCTAATTAAATGCAAATGCGTTTGAAACTGACTTAAACAGTAACAATGAGTTAAACATTTTCTATTTTCAATCATAGTCGACGGTCAACATAATTGAACAATGTTTTATTAGCGTTTAAATTCCACAGGTGAAGAACAGCGATCCATGCTCAGTTGCATAGAATCAAAGATGAAATGTTTTTACAAGCAGTATGATGTATAAAGAGAGTTAATAGGTACACATATAATTAAGTTCTAGAGTTTTACAAAGCATGGAAAGCTGGTCGTGATTCTGATTATATTTTGTATTTGCACCTCAAGGCTGACCTCGTTAGTACTTCTTTATGATACACTTCACTTTGCAAATTACTTCCAGGCCTTGACATTATTACTTACTTCTACGACTGACTTCTCTACTTACTTCTCTGCACTGTGACTGACCTCACTACTTACTTCTCTGCACTGCGACTGATCTCGCTACTTACTTCTACGACTGACTTCAATACTTACTTTATGACGTCGCTACTTACTTCTCTGCCCTGTGCCTGACCTCACTACTTACTTATCAGCTCTGCGACTACCTCGCTACTTACTTCTCAGCTATGTGACTGACGTCGCTACTTACTTCTCTGCTCTACGAATGACCCCGCTACTTACTTCTTTGGACTGCGACTGACCTCACTACTTGCTTCTCTGCCCTGTAACTGACCCCAGTACTTACTTCTTTGCACTGTGACTGACCACACTGCTTACTTCTCTGCTCTGCAAGTGACCTCGTTACTTTCTTCTCTGCTCTGCGACTGACCCGTTACTTACATCTTTGCCCTGCGACTGACCTCATTACTTACTTCTCTGCCCTGCGACTGACCTCACTACTTGCTTCTCTGCCCTGTAACTGACCTCAGTACTTACTTCTTTGCACTGTGACTGACCACACTGCTTACTTCTCTGCTCTGCAAGTGACCTCGTTACTTTCTTCTCTGCCCTGCGACTGACCCGTTACTTACATCTTTGCCCTGCGACTGACCTCATTACTTACTTCTCTGCCCTGCGACTGACCTCACTACTTACTTCTCTGCCCGATGACTGGTCTCATTACTTAATTCTCTGTACTGCGACTGACCTCATTGCTTACTTCTCTGCTCTGTGACTGACCTCGCTACTTGCTTCTCTGCACTGCGACCGACCTCGCTATTTGCTTCTGTGCTCTGTGACCGACCTTCCTACTTACTTCTCTGCACTGCGACAGACTTCCATATTTACTTCTCTGTGACTGACTTCTCTAGTTACTTCTTTGCACTGAAACTGACCTCCCTACTTACTTCTCTGTGCTGCGACTGACCTAGCTACTTACTTCTCTGCTCTGTGACTAGCCTCGCTACTTACTTCTCTGCACTGTGACTGACCTCACTATTTACTTCTCTGCACTGAGACTGACCTCCTTACTTCTTTACACTGTGACCGACTTCATTACTTACTTCTTTGGACTGCGACTGACCTTGCCACTTACTTCTCTGCTTTGTGACTGACTTCCCTACTTACTTCTCTGCTCTGCAACTGACCTTGCTACTTAATTCTCTGCTCTATGACTGACCTCGTTATTTACTTCTCTGCACTGAGACTGACCTCGCTACTTTTCTGTTCTGCGTATGACCCCGCTACTTACTTCTTTGGACTGCAACTGACCTAGCTACTTACTTCTCTGCGACTGACCTCGTTATTTACTTCTCTGTTCTGCGACCTGCCTCGCTACTTTATTTCTGTTTGCATTTTTATATACATTAGCTCATAATAGAATCTGAAGTTTACCACAAAAAAGACTTACTGGCCTCTGTTTAAATTTTATAAGTTAAATACCTAACATTTTTGCACATAGGTTTCGTTAATATCAAAACATTTCTACGCAAAAATGGTTTTCTTGTCAATTTAATCGATCGAATTAGTCGATTAGTGACTATCTGATCAAATGAAACCCTAGTAAGCAATCACAGCATGCATTTCATAACTCTCCATTCTGTATAACCTTGAGAAAATTCAGTAAATGTTCTATGTTAATCAACAACTACCCACCCCATCCTTCATCATTAAATGCATGCGCATGTGCAAGTAAGATGAGCTTTTAAACCAAGATGTCGCCCGTAGTTCTTATTCAAATACAGAGATCGCATTTTTCATTATTTTACTAAAAGTAATATATTAATTTACCCGCACTTGTTACAGAAAAATTTCATTGGTTCTACTACAAGAAAGCTCATGATGAATATGACGTATTTATCCATTGAAATTATTCTAAGATCTAAACAAGGGCCAAGGATGAACAAAACCTCCTATTAAATAGAGCTTACTTATTCAAAAGTTGAGGCCAAAAATTAACCAGGTTAGTTCAGTTTCTATAGTACTGTTTTTTTTCATAACTTTTCGTCTATTTATAACTTTCCACCCGTGAGGTTCATATTATGCAGATACCTCTCTTTCTAAGGTACATTCACTCTTCGCACGTTTTAGTTTGAACCATAATATCTTTATTATATTTATAACTTTCCACACGTGAGGTTCATATTATGCAGATACCTCTCTTTCTAAGGTACATTCACTCTTCGCACGTTTTAGTTTGAACCATAATATCGTTATTATATTTATAACTTTCCACACGTGAGGTTCGTATTATGCAGATACCTCTCTTTCTAAGGTACATTCATTCTTCGCACGTTTTAGTTTGAACCATAATGTATTTATTATTTTTAGTTTTTTGCGCAACGCATTTTGTTTTCCGTCTTTTTGTCAGAACATTTGCTTTCGTATGTATATATAACGTTTCTAGTTCATGACTTGTGTCTGTTTACAGATAACTAAAGTACGTAAAAAGTATATACATAATTTCATAACACTGTCGTTTTAATTACTAGTGAAGGTTTCAGTTTTGGTGAGAAATATATACATACTTTAATAACACTGTCGTGTTAATTATTTGTGAAGGTTTCAGTTTTGGTTGCGCCTTTAAATTGAAATTGTTAGAGAAAATAAAGTGAAACCTAATTCTAAAGTAGAATGAAGAAGTAGCTACTTCATTGATAAAAGGGAACAATATCCGTCAGTGAATGAAGATAAATGGGAACAATATCTGTCAGTGAATGAAGATAAATGGGAACAATATCTGTCAGTAAATGAAGATAAATGGGAACAATATCCGTCAGTGAATGAAGATAAATGGGAACAATATCCGTCAGTGAATGAAGATAAATGGGAACAATATCCGTCAGTGAATGAAGATAAATGGGAACAATATCTGTCAGTGAATGAAGATAAATGGGAACAATATCCGCCAGTGAATGAAGATAAATGGGAACAATATCCGTCAGTGAATGAAGATAAATGGGAACAATATCCGCCAGTGAATGGAGGTAAATGGGAACAATATCCGTCAGTGAATGAAGATAAATGGGAACAATATCTGCCAGTGAATGAAGGTAAATGGGAACAATATCCGTCAGATCGATCATCTTGACCAATCTCAGATCATCCAAATTATTAACTCTATAACTGAGTACAGTTATTGTCATTTTAACTACCTATTAAAGTCTGCTTTTTACTTTATGGTAAACTAATTGACATTAGGTTAATAGACAGATGACATTTGTTTGTTGATTTCGAAAAACATTAACTGAAAAATTAGTTTGATTATTTTATTTTATCATATTATACCTGATATTATTAAAATTGTTCGGATTTTTTCTACACTGAACGAGGTTCGTCATAAAGTACATTATAATACCTTGATTTTTAGTGTATCGTCTATAAAATATTTTCGCGACACATTCCAGTATAACAGTAATTTTACTTTTCCAGCCATTAGAATAATTATTTTCTTGTATCGAACATTAATAATGAAGAGTTTCAATATAATCGAAGAGAATATGCTACAAGGCTTCAATTAGCGTTTAGAAATGTTATCGTTAAAAGAACTCGTAATACATTATAAAAAACAACAACTAATAATTTAATATTTTTGTGTGATCAAAGAAATTATCCTACAGTGAAAATAAGGAAGATTGCTCTTCTCATATTTGGACACAAAAGTTTATAATGAAGACAGGAACATTGCCTTCTTCTATTATACATCACCGGGTGAGTAGACATCAAAGTTTGAAAATATTATTTTTAGTGCTGCAGAATAATAGATTTTAAAGTAATAGAAAATTCCTAAATCAGTTAAAACGCCCATTTTTCGCCCTTTTTATGCCCCCCAGTGGCACAGCGGTATGTCTGTGGACTTACAACGCTAGAAACCGGGTTTCGATACCCGTGGTGGGCAGATCACAGATGGCTCTTGTGTAGCTTTGTGGATAATTAAAACAAATCGCTCTTTTTTTATTAAAATTTTGTTTAATTTACTTCCCACCTTAGTAATTTAATAGACAGATCATTTTTTTGAAAGTTAGACATTTTCTTTACTAATTCCTCCTAAAATCTCCAATTAATGGAAAGGGTCATTTATAATCACTAGCACACTACAGTCTTACCTCGCTGTCCAATTTCGGAGTCCAAACGTTCAAATAAAGACAGTCCTCTTGGCCTTCATAGTGCTTAGTGTAGGGGTTGAGTTGAATGCAAGGTGACCCAAAATTCTTGGCCTCTGTTTGTGAGTAGGGTCTACATTTTTCCCCATCTTCTGTTAGTGGTACCGTATGTCTCCAACGGTAAGGACCACTTGGAGGTACAGCGTATGGGATCCCCTGTAAACAGCTAAACTTTAGTCTCATCTCACATACCTAACTTGTTTATTTTAAAGACAGCTAACGTTTAACCATGGATTAAAAGTAAAATTTTACTAATGACACTACTTATCACTACTTACATAATCAAAATCACTGTTACTAATGGCACTACTTATCACTACTTACGGAATCAAAATCACTAACTATCCATCAGAAGTTATTGAATGATTTTTAATAAAATAATTCATTATTGCCCATACTGTTTTGTTTTGCTAAATATCACCAACTACAACCAATCTTTCGAATACTTCCTGGTGATCAATGTCACCAACTAAAACCAATTTTTCAAACACTTACTAGAGATGAATATCATCAATTACAACCAATCATTCAAACATTTCCTGGAGATAAATATCACAAACTACAACCAATCATTCAAACACTTCCTGGAGATAAATATCACAAACTACAACTAATCATTCAGACACTTCCTGGAGATAAATATCACAAACTACAATCAATCTTTCAAACACTTACTAGAGATGAATATCATCAATTACAACCAATCATTCAAACATTTCCTGGAGATAAATATCACAAACTACAACCAATCATTCAAACACTTCCTGGAGATAAATATCACAAACTACAAACAATCATTCAGACACATCCTGGAGATAAATATCATCAATTACAACCAATCAGTCACACACTTCCTGGAGATAAATATCACAAACTACAACTAATCATTCAGGCACTTACTAGAGATAAATACCACAAACTACAACCAATCTTTCAAACACTTACTAGAGATGAATATCACAAACTACAACTAATCATTCAGACACCTCCTGGAGATAAATATCACAAACTACAACCAATCATTCAAACAATTCCTGGAGATAAATATCCCAAACTACAACAATCATTCAACATATGGAGATAAATATCATTTACAACAACTTCCTGGAGATAAATATCATAAACTACAAACAATCATTCAAACACTTATAGAGATAAATATCATAAACTACAATCAATCTTTCAAACACTTATAGAGATAAATATCATAAACTACAATCAATCTTTCAAACACTTGCTAGAGATGAATATCATCAATTACAACCAATCATTCAAACACTTACTAGAGATAAATATCACAAACTACAATCAATCTTTCAAACACTTACTAGAGATAAATATCACAAACTACAACCAATCATTCAGACTCTTCCTGGAGATAAATATCCCAAACTACAATCAATCTTTCAAACACTTACTAGAGATGAATGTCATCAATTACAACCAATCTTTCAAACACTTCCTGGAGATAAATATCACTAACTACAACCAATCATTCAAACACTTCCTGGAGATAAATATCACTAAGTACAACCATCTTTAAATACTTCTTGTATATGAATGTTATAGGTTATTTTGCTAATAAGTTCCTCAAGACATGTGTATAATACGGCGTAATCAAGTTAAACGCAAAAATGTACTAACTTGGTATCTAATAAACCAAATAAATCTAAGCCGTTCTAGCTATTTAAAAATACCAAGTTTCAGATACGACTCAGGGACTGTTATATAATTTTATGGTGTTAAAGTTGATAAACGATTTTTCCAACAGCAACTTACTGATTTTCTACAATTTACTTTACCCGCTTGTTAAAAAGATAACATTTCGTTAAATAGCAAAATGTTGTATATGAAATGCAATGAGACGCCGTATTGGGAAATCACAATCTGATGTACAAACTCGACCCTTGGAGATACACAGTCTTTTTTTCTTACTCCGATTTAATCCATACGAAGAAACAGGATCAACTTCAGAGAGTGGGCGAGGTAAGCAACTACCCAGAGCAGCAAAAATCATATTTATTTTAGATTCAATAAAATGGACTATTTCGCGCAAGCTTTATGTCGTCTCCTACTAGCCTGGAAAGTGTGATCACAGTCACCGTAAAATAACCAAACTAAACATAAAACAAGGATTTTCTAAGTTTAAGAAGCATTTCACATATTTGCAACTGAAAAAATATAAAAATAAAGTTATACTAGTGTAAAGAAATTGGAAGTAAGGCACAGATAGGAATACTAAAACAAATTTGAAGATAGGAATATTAAAACAAATTTGAAGTAAGGCACAGATAGGAATACTAAAACAAGTCTTTATTAGAAATTTTAACATTTCGTTCATGTTTTGTTATATATATGTTTACTGTATGGTGCAATGAATGTGCGTTTTATAACAAAGGCACAATGAGCTATCTACTGTGTCCACCACATGGAATTAAACCCTGGATTTTAACGGGGTAAATCCTCGAATTTACCGTTGTCCCATTGGGGACGACCTGTGGAAGGTACTGAACAGACAACCTATTATGTAGCTTTGTGCTTAACAAATAAGATGTCTGCTTCGTGATCTAAGAGGAAACAATATCTTGTAATCTTTGCTACAAACCAGAATTTCTTCAGATTTATATCTTGATATTAAATTGTTATTGCTTTGACCGAATGGTTTTAACAATTCTTTTTGACAAAGTTTAATCGCCATAAATTCTCAATGAATCTATGTAGATGTGTATTGCTGTGAGGTAATTCAATTTCCATATTAATTTTAAATCAAACTTTTTTTTTCGTTTCAGTTTAAAACTTGAGCCAAAATTGAATTATCTTTGCGACTTCTTGATGCATATCAAACATCAGGTCATATTACAAATGAAAATTAAGTTTGCATTTTATTATACATGCTTCCAAACGTAAACGTATATATATATTGTCAGATTCTTTATCTCATGTTTAATAATTAGATGACAAACCTATCCAAGAAATATGCTTTATTCGGGAATTCTATTTCAGTTTGTTTAAAACATCAGATTCTAATCATAATATTACTTCAATACAGATCTACGGTGACCAGAAATTCTCTTTCGTTCACTGTGCTCAGTAATAAAATAAAATATTTTGCATTTTTTTTCTTGCCGTACTTGAAGTCAACTTCTAAAGACTGAACGATCACTCATGACAAAAACAGACCTGATGTTTGTCACGGTTACATTGCTGAGAAATCTTAAAACCATCCAATGGCAGTGAAAGTTTAAAATTATTTTCATTCAGAGTCATAGGACAATATAGCTTCTACTCTGTTCATGATAATCAAATACATTTACATTTCTATTTAACACGAATCATTTCTTTTATTTTTGTTTGAACGCAGTGGAATTGACCCCAGAAGTTAGCGTTGTAAGTTCGTAAACTTACACCTGACTCACCGAAGGACTAATATGAGTCTATGTGACATTTTCAATGTAAGTTAGAGTCAACATCATCGGTATTGTTTCCTTAATGTAAATTATTTATATTAGTGAATGATATCGTATATTTGTTAAGTACAAAGCTACACAAAAGGCTATTCTGTGCTCTGCCTACCACTGGTATCGAAACCCGATTTCTATCTTTGTAATCCCGCAGACATACCACTGTGCCACTGGAGGGGCGCTAGTGTATGATAAAAATAAAATACCTATAACTATTATACTATAAATATATGTATAATTGTCTTAATAGTGCTGGGTAGCCTTTAGCTGACATTTTTCAAAAACACCATTTCATCATTTTTTTATGAAGACTTGATGTACTTCCGCACGGTGCCCGAAAGTATTCTGTATTAAGAGTAAATGAAACAAAATTTAGAGTAACAAATATTTTTATTTCTTCTTTTTGAAGTTCATATGTCATGCCGTGTTGTTACCTATAGAGTGCATAATTCTTCCCGTGGTTCATGGCATGTGCACATTCTACTGACGTCAGGTCAGTACAAATTGCAACGTTAAGCGTCCCTTATATGACGTCATTTTAGTGTCTACTGACTGACTGACGGACAGACAACACACTACTGTATATTGGTGCGAGTGGTTAAAACATGTGACTCCTTCAGGCGGTCTTCGGCCCCCTTTCTGGGAAATAATACCTATGTATTAATTTTTTTCAATCCATTTGAAATTCTTTCTTTAATTCTTGTGCTTTTAGATAATTGTTTAAAAATGACTTTCTTTAACCGTTAAATAATAAGATAAAAAATAGAAATATAATAAAAACTGCTATTAAAAAAGTTCTTTGTGTGTTACATAAGATTAAAAGTTGCTTACCTTGAATACAAAGGCTTCACCATCAATACCTCCCTGATAGTTCCCACAGTCGGTGTGAACTGTGACAAACTGCTTCCATGCATTGGAAGTCCCTAAAGTAGTGTCTGCTTCATACTTCTCGCCCTCTGGTGTCGAAAGCCCTATTGTAGTGAAACAGGCGACGATAATTGTCACCAAGACAACCGAAATGCCAAAGATCGTGGCGGGAAGTGCTCGCGAACACTGGCACTTCTTTTGTTCTTCGCGTTCTTGCTGATGGTGACGAAGAAAGTCATCCTCATCGTCCAGGTGGCTGTAAGGCTGGTAGGGAGTACCCAGGAGTGACATGATGTCGCTGATTGGAGGATCCTTATTCATTAGGATGACGTAGTTAAAACAAGCCCTAAGTATTTTATTTCAGTTAGAGCAATACTCTTATAAAAGTCAAGTTAACGGAAGATAATTTTAAATTTTGTTTATTGTAAGAAACTCCAGGTTATTCTCCACTTACTGTCAAGACCGAAGACACGTACGTCCTGGTAAAGAGCGTTTAAATGATCCTGAACTATTCTGAAAAAAAAAAAAATGACATGAAGATATTCAGTACCATGATATAAATTATGTAACGCTAAATACGCATAATTTTACATGATAGACTACAGGGTAAGCAACTAATAAAATCCATACTACCAGCTCTTGGGCTACTCTTGTTAAACCTATTAGTGGCGTTTTACCGTCATTCTTTATAACAAATAATACAGAGGTATAAAAACCAATGCTGAACACATCTATTAAAAAAACTCACCGTAGGTGGCGCTAAAACATGACCTTGTAACACAGTAAGTTTTATTTCATCTTAAGAATATAGTAGTATTAATACTGGTTACATCAAGTGTTCACTATGTCCTTCGTCCTTTCAACAGCAAACTCCAACACGAAACATATTTTAAATAATGTGTATTACGTAATTATGAACATAAATTTTTGATTAAATGCTGAAATTGGGTATCTGCAGCAATCCTTAATAATCGATGAGTGAATCAATAATCTCTGATATTCAACTTATACATTTAACTGCAATTTCTAATGACATTAGGGGATAAGCACGTAAGGTTTTAAGGTCACATTGAAGCGCCACCTATGGTCACATTTTTCATAGATATGTTTTCACACATTTTGTACCAAATGGTAAAGCTGTAGATTGCATGGTTCTTTTACTCGAGCTTATTTCGTGCCACTACTGTACATATATTATGACCTATCACAGGCGGTTGTTTATACAGAACCCACACTTACCTACAACTACACGTTATCCCATGATACATTTATTTTTATGGAGACTTTTACACCGGTAATAAAAATAGTAACTTGCGAATGCTGAGGACAACTAAAAAATGTGTTATTCTTCGAAATCTTAAGATAAAGAAAGTATTTCTTAAGATTTGCGAGAAAAACTGTAAAAAAAAACACATCAACAAACAGGTTTCGAATAACACAAGAATGCAGCTACAAAACAAAAAACTATAAAAACTAATACAAGGGTTTTAGCAGAACCAATAAGTTTCGTTTGATTCAATAAGACTACTTACGAGATTTCCAAGGTCTTTGAACCCGCGAAACTCTTTGGATAAATGAAGCTGAACTTTCATAGAAAAGTATTTGAATATATGACTGAAATATGAAATATGAGTGTGTTCATTCACTACTGTTTTTGTTTTTTTCATTATTTTCCAAACCGATTTTCTTCTATTTGAGTTTGTATTTATCGACAATTAGTTAGGAAATGACATATTATAATGATATTGACACGGTCTGATATTAACTTGAACATGATATAATAAAAACACTTCAGAGAAATGTGCGTTTATGATGACGTGTGATGCATATACAGATTAACGAAAACTCTTTACCTTTGCTTTAGAAACAAGAGCCTTGAATATCTAATACAATGGCTATTATAATTCCATTAAACAAATGATCATACATTGCAACATACATTAGACAATCATCGCAGTGCAACACGAGCCCGAAAGGATTTTGAACACACTCAGAAATAAATGTTAATAAATTTAACATAATTTCCGGACAGCCATCATCAACTTGACAGGTTTTGTTCTGAAAGATATAGTTCACTGGCGGAGCTTAAAATAAAAGCTGCTTATATACTTGGCTGCTTGACAGTGAAAGCGTTACATATGTAATTTTTTTATATATCTACGCATGTTGTGTGTTCGTTATTAAATCAAGCCTCATCAGCACAGCTTAAGTCAGCAAACCAAAGAAATACTGACAAAACAGTAGACTTATACGTGTGCACAATTAGTGGCTTTCAGCACGTCTAACCGATATCCGATTTCAGTCCAAGTTCGCTGCAACACGCCTACAGTTACAATTTGTTATAAGTGTGTGATACAAGATATCCTTAACATACCCCCATGGTTTTTCCTATAACTATGCTGCACCACAGTCACTGACTTGGCCTCTGCAAGCCAAACAACGCATAGAGCCTATTCTTGCACGGCTGCCATTTTGCTGGTTAACACCACTACTGGCGGGCCAACAGAGGGTTACGCCCTCTCAGTGTCCAGGTTATGTAGAAATACACAGTGGAAATAAGCAACGAGAGATGAGTAAGTGAGACCAGGTACTGAGATGGTGAAGACGATAGATAGATGTGTTGTGGAAGATCAGGGATCGGAGTTGCATTGTAGTCGGGATGATCAGGTGACAAAGACATAAAGTAGTGGTTCAGGCGATGATCCATCGGAGGTAGGAGTTTGAGAAGGGTATTCACCGAATAGGATAGGATTTCGTCGAAGATAGGGTTGTGATGATCGAAGCAGCGGTGAACATACTTCACTCTTAGTTTACGCAGATGTGCGAGTATGGAGGGGGGATGAGAAAGTACACTCCTGTGTAGGACTGGAACCACGTAATTGAAAGGCCATTCGTAAAGCGTGGCGTTCCAAAACTTCCAGCCGATGATAGAGTGAAGATGGAGCATGGATCCAGGCAACATGACCATAGGTGAGGCAAGGTAGGACAAAAGCTTTGTAGGAATACAAAAGGAGTTGGGGATTCAAAATTCCAGGAGGAACCAAGGAGACGGCGAAGTAAATGAAGCCTGGAATCAACCTTCATGTGTAAGATGGCCAGGTGTGCTTTCCAAGTGAGATGGCGATCAAAGGTAAGTCCAAGATATTTAACTGTATTGGATAGGGTAATAGGAATGTTGTCAAGTCGGACATCGAAGAGAAGTGGATTTCGGCATGGACAAAATTTGTGGCGAGTCGGGTCAAAGAGAATAGCTTTGGTTTTGTGAGGGTGAAATTTAAGCCTCCAGTGTCTGCACCAGGAAAGAAAAGAGTTGACGGCTTTCTGCAGGACTTTGTTGAGGATGACCATTGTAGAACAAAGAGCAAGGAGAGCTGTGTCATCGGCGTATTGAAAGAGATAAACTGGAGGCCGGGGAACTAGCACGTCAGCAACAGACAGGATGTACAATAGAGGAAAAATGACGAATCGCTGTGGAACGCCAGCACGTATGGAGAATGGACGAGAATGAATACCATGGATGGAAATGGTAGCTCGACGATCCCGGAGAAAGGAAAAAATAAGTCTAGTGTAGGAAGCAGGAAAAGACAGATGTTGAAGTTTGTAGATCAGCCCCCGGTGCCAAACAGAATCAAAGGCTCTTTCAAAGTCAAATAGAACGAGGCATGAAAGTTTAGAGGTGTTGAAATGATTTGTAATTAAATCAGAGAGCTTGAGGAGCCGATTTGCAGTGGAGAGATGAGGGCGGAAATCTGCCTGGGTATGTGGAAGCAACTGATTGTCTGCAATGAAAGAGTGAAGACGACGAACAAGGATGCGTTCAAAAGTCTTGCTGAGGATACTGGTTAAACTGATGGGCCTACAGGAATCTAGATGAACTTGTGGCTTGGATGGTTTCAGGAAAAAAAGGATGGTTGATAACTTCCAAGCGGTAGGGAAGAAACCTGTGCGAAGTAGAAAAGTGTAGAATAAGGCCAATAGGGTAATAAACTGAGCAGATGCATTAGAAAAATGGGAATAAGTGAGACCATCTGGACCGGGGGCTGAGTTGCGACGATGACGTAAGGCAAGTCGGACATCTTGAGCAGTAATTGGAGCACACAGGGGGTTGGTTTCCAGAACATGGGTGAGAGAGGGGTGAAGAGCTGGAGAAGTATGATCAGACAGTCATAAGATGTCATCAAAGTCAAAGGGATGTGGTGGTGGAGGATTAAACTGCGACTCAAAGTGATGTGCAAAAGCATTGAGGAGCGTGGTAGCAGGAACCTGACCATCCAAAATGATAGGAAGGGGAGCGATACTGGCCAGTGAGGATGCGAAACTGAGTAAAAAAAAAACTGAGAGTTGAGGAAGGGGAATGATGAGGCCTGTTGCACAGGTAATGCCAACATCGACGTTTAATAGTTTGAATAAATTTCTGGCTGTGCGTTGGAGACCTCTGGATTGGTGTAAAACAAGTGGATCATGGGAATGGCTATAGTCCTGGAGGAGTGAGGAGGCACGGTGAAGAAATGTGATGGCTCGTTGGGGTACATTTGGATCACCTTGTACAGTTAGACTTCTTATAATGGTGAAGTGTAGATAATATCTATGGTGTTTTGAGTTATTTTTAATTCACCATACAGTAACCCAAGTTAATTTAGGTATGTGAATAATGTTATTAAATTTCGGTTAATTCATTATTCGATATTATACATCGGACCAACTGTTTAATGATTATATTTATGTTAAAGATTTATTTTCTTTTTCACAAGTGAAGATAGTACGAGACAAGAGGATAGGCACAGCGTATTTTATATTTATTATGCTCCTAAATGTCTTGTGTGTGTGTGTGTGTTTATCTTCTTGATTCTTTAGTGTATTGGAGTCTACATTCACAAGGAATGTTGTAAATGGTATTTTTGTTTTTAATTCGGTCTCGTGATGGTTTGGTGTGTACTACCTACGATCGTATTTTTTATGGCTTCTGAATACTGATCTGGGATCTTTAATAGTGTTAAGATACAGATCAGTTATTTGCATTTTTCTTACCGAATTAACATGATCAAAACGAACAGGAAATAATACATTGCTGAACAACCTTATCATAGATAATTAATGTTTTGTACATTTTACATGTTTCTAATTGTTGCTATATAATATATTATGTCTGTTGCTTCTTATATAAATTAGTAAATTATAAAATTCAGAGCTTTAGGGATAAAACATAATTGTAAGGTGGAGAAACAATTTTGAAAACCTGATTAAAATATTCCAAAACATGAATACATATATATACAGTTTGTATTGGATTTATTAAAACTTTTCTTCCTACTCATGAGCCTATTTAATTAAATACTTAAAATTATAACCCCGTTTATTTTGCTCCATTATAAATATTTGTTTTCTTATTTAGTTCTTCTCCTTCTAAAAGTTTCTACCTCTTTGCAGATGGCGCTTGGCATTTACATTTGTTTGTTTCGGTGATAGATAGATATACAGTGAATTACATTGTCTGTTTTCAAAATACTGTCGTA